CCTACATATTATGAACTTGACTATACATTATTATGCAAAATCGAACGGAGTCGTCTATTTAGGGAAATAAAGAAATAAATATTTTAATAAAGTACTAATCCATAACTTAGCGTTTTATCTATTTCAATATGTTATTGTACATACTTATTGGTTATGTACTTAATTCTACTTTAAGATTTTCTGTAATGTAAATAGTTGTTTTGATTATTAGATACTGATATTTTCAAATGTTCTATTGCCAGTCAGACAAATAGTCAGTTTTACTTGGAAATCTGGTTATTTTAAATATTTATGCTATAAATATTCAAAATTATGTTCACATTCTTGTCGTGTATAAATCTTAACCACTTAATGATTTATCCAAAATATCCAAAATCACAGTTGGGTAAATGCAATTTCCATAAAAATCAATATACGCACACACGCAATGATGAAGTTTGAAATGAGAGCATCACTGTAAAATAATTAAGTAGATCCATTAGTAAAGATATTATATTTAAGCTTGATACTTATAGAATATTTAATTTTTTGAACAATTTCTAGAGCTGACGTATAAATTGTAAACTACAAAATGAATAATCAAAGTGTAAATTTAAAGTGATTCCTTGCAGCTTTAAACTTGTCATATATACGATCATATATAACAAGGTATGTATTATGCTTCTAGTTTTTATGGGAACATGGGGAATTTTTGTTTTTTTCGCTTGCAATTTTTTGTCATAGATTATAAAATCAATATACGAATCTATTCACATTAGTATATTCAAAATTAATTAATATATTCAAAACAATTGTTGAAAATATTGAGTAGTAAAAATAATAATTAACAAAATAATATGTATATTCGAGATTTCCAGAATCTTTCGAATATTATTATTTCGAGTAAAAATCCTAACAGCTATCACTTCGGGGAAAAACTCCCACGGCTTTAATTTCTGTGAAATTTTCCAACAGTCATTGGCGATCTAGTAAGCTCACCACGAGATAGGTGCTAGTCAGCCAAGAACGAGTCGTTCGGGCAATCACACACTCTCTCAGCAGAGCCGCTACGGAACGTACCAGTAACAGTTTCAAACTAAGTGAAATCTTATAGACAGTGCCCAGAACACGAAGCTGCTGCAGGCCTTTCTCATACTAGAGGCCATCGGACACTCTCTTCGGATTCTCTCATATTTTGTACCAACAGCACTCTCTCAAGTTGCCGCTTCCATAAGTCAGAGCAAGCAACACCATTCGACGCCACATCTAGGTATCAAACCATTTTCTAACCCTTTCTCACCACAAGACATCTTGGAGGAGACCAGCATTTAAGTTACCACAACGTAGCAATACAAAAAGAAATGTCAATAGATTAACGACCTCTCACTTCTCACTCTCACTCTCACCTCTCACCTTTCACTCCAACACTGCATCAAGAGGATCCGGAGATTTACGACCTCCTATCTTTACAAGTATTACACGCTGGCATCACGTGGTAACAATCAAAGGACGGCAAGATCTCAGCGATTCTCATAATCAACGTAGTTGTAAATCATTGTACATCATTATATTGTAGTTGTACAATAAACGCAGTAACAATATATAAAGCATAATATTTAAAATATTAAATGCAGTTATATATTTATTAAATAAAATTAATATATTTAATTGAATAACAAAATAATGCTCATATAATTTCACAATGATAACGATAAATATTAGAACAAAATATTGGTAAAATAAAAATATGTTATCTACTTAAATTTGAAAATCTATTAAAGAAAGTAGAAATAAATTGTCATTAAACGTTTCGTTTAAAAAGAAAATTGTAGATTCGAATTAAGATTTATAATATTTGAAAAATTAGTTGTCATGGGTGTACAAAAATAAAATACGTTTTACTTTCATTTTTTATTTTAATTTTTACAATTTGAATGCATAAAGAAAGTGTTCGAGATTGCGAGACCTTTTTTCAATGCAATATAATATCTGGCAAAACAACATCGTAAATTTATGTTAAGATTTAAAAACTTTCTTGCTCGCAACCATCTAGCAATAGTGTCATAAAACATTTGTAAAAACAATACAATAAACACGGAAAAAACCCACTCATTTAGGCATCTGTACGAATTCACTCCGCTCGGTAACTACGACACAACTACGCCCTTAATCAACTATGAAGCCACAAGAGGCGCTGCCCTCACTCTGTAAGAGAGGAGTCTCTGATTGGACGAAAAATAAGGGAAGGGGTTCAAGTGAAGTTCATGGTCAGCAAAAGTATTTAAGGGGCGCATTTTTCATGACTCAAACACCCTCGATACAGTACTTATTCAAATAAGTGTCAAGTGGAAGTCCATTAACGCAGTTTAGGCAACAGTCGTTCAAAAGGATCGAAGACATATCCACCTATCGGATTCGTCCATTAACGCAGTTCAAGGCAACATTCGTTATACGTCCTAGAAGAACGACGACATATCCTCGTATGTCCATTAACGCAGTTCAAGAAACTGTCGTTACAAGTTCAAAAGGATCGAAGACATATCCACCTATCGGAGTCTGAAGACAAGTCGTCGATTAGTCTTCGTAAGTAGTAGCACCAATACAATAATCAAATAAAAACTTTAGATTAAGAATACGTCATCGACAAGCAATCAAAGAAAAGAGGCTCTCACCAGAGAGATAGCACGGAATAATTCCAAGCTCGTCGTCAAGGTCGCATCAACTGATGCGAGACTTGCTGGCCTTACCCTCACCTTAGTTCAAAATCTGACACTTATGAATCCACAGCGTGCCATTCAACACTCAGAAGTTGTCAACAGCAACAATTTGTATTCTTCGAAACGGTCTTGGTAAAACAAGCCGGAACGGCGAGTACATTTTGTACAGAAACCATATTTTGTGTTCTAATATAGAAAGATTTAAATATTTTTTATTTTGTCCTTTTTACAGACTTTTTTATAATATATAATTTTGTATAAAATATAAATTGGTAATTAGAATTTTGTAATGTATTTTCTTAATTATTAATTTATTGTTGTTTAACACTATGATCGGAGAGAAAGCATGAAATTAATAATTTGGTCTTAGTTATTTAAATTTCACCAATGACTAGTTCGGCTGTTTTTATAATTAAAATTTATATTGGATTTCTTAATTATTTATAATATTTTAATAGTTTTTGCATACTTACTTATTATTTAACGTATTAACTTATTATACTTTTTTAAAATTGTAATCTTTTCTATCTGTGCATTTATATAATTTTCAATTTAAATATATTTCCCCAAAATATTAATTATAAAACTAGAATTTCTATGCCACTTCAGAGTGTAAGTAAATATATGCGGAATGAATAATAAAGAGATAATATAAAAATTTTGGCGATAATGTGTATCAAGATAATTTAAAATTAATATTTATGTAAACTAATGAAATAAATTGAATATTAATTTTACATAGTATTTATTTCAAGTAGATTTAATGAAACAGAAATATTTAAGCAGGCATAGATTTACATGATTCTATCGATTCCTCCCATAACAGAATAGCCTAGCAAATATTGTGTACTATAAAATATACACACAATTTTTCCATGTAACAAAATACTAATGAAATTCAGAAACCTACACAAATTCAACATTTTACTTCTTTTTTTAGTACTTCAAATGTTATTGAGCTAATGCTAGTTTAATATTTCTAGTTTATAAAAATTAAATAAGAATAACGACATTGTAGAAATACAATTGAAATATTTACAATAAACATAATAATTTTGATGTTATATAAATAAGTGTTTATTTCAGAATAAGGGAGATAGAAATAAAATTTGGTTGTATGTGTGAAAATTTTCAGATTTTACGTACATTCTCATAAATATTGTATATTTCATTATAATATATAAAAGTATAAAATTCACAAAATATTTTGATATTATCAGTAATCGATATAAGTTAAGATTGAAGATATATTTTACATGTACTTGTCTAGGGTCAGACTAAAATACTTCCAGAGATGTTCGATGGAAGAATTGCTAGCAAATGGAAGGGGATGGCGCATTTATACAATATTTAACACATAGCGTATCTTGGTATTTTTTTCTCTTTATTTATTGACAAACTACACAATAAAGTTGATTCTAAAATCGTGTTGAGAATCTGTGAGGTTTCCGTTCCTTAGTGGTTTCATGTGGAGATAGCGTACACTGGAAGTCGAGGTTGCAGGTTGTAAAGCTCCGAGTCCTCTTGGTGCAGTGCGCTTGGTGTAAATTACTATACTGAGAAATGCAAGTGCATAAATCCTTGACACTCCTTGTATAGTGTCACGCATAACCTTTACTCCGGAGTACAGCTCCGTTCAGTAACGGCTTAGGGCCTGAATCCAAGGAATAGATCCGAATACAGCGACGTTTAATGCAGAAGTTTCAATGTCCGAGTGCCAATACACAAGTTTCAATTTTTATGTACCAATACACAAGCGTTGAGTTTCAATTTTTCGAGTGCCAATGCACAAGTTTCAAGTTTCAATTTTTCGAGTGCCTGAATGCACAAGTTTCAGGTTTCAATTTTTCGAGTGCCTGAATGCACAAGTTTCAAGTTTCAATTTTACGAGTGACAATGCATAAGCTTCAAGTTTTAATACAGAAATTTTTATGTCTTACCTACTTGTATGGTGAGTGCGTAGGTGGTCCGCTTCTTATTTAATATTCACTCTTGGAAGGCAATCAGCACTTTTGACTGCATAACTGTGGCGCACTTAAATTAATTATAAATTATTTAGTTACGCTGTTGGTTTACGATCTTATTGTTGCTGAGTCTAGCTGAATTATGTGTGTATTAGTAAAACTGATTAACTGATAATTGAGAAAAATACAGTGAGCAATAACTAATGAGTGAATGATTCGTAAAAATACAGTAAGCGCTTGTACGTGGCGAGCTGCTTTTAAATATTAGCGTGGCAGCTTGCCATGCTGGCAGCAGTGTTCGAGCTTGATGTTAGGCCGAAAGTCTTAATGTTGGAGAATGTTCGAGAACTCCAAAAGGGCACTGCCTTGGAAGGTTCGAGAATCTTCAATCGACGTTGCTATGCGGAAATATTGTTGGACACTAGAAAATAAGGCGTAGACTATACAAGAATTCGTAGAATCAATGTTTGCAAACATAAGCATCCGAAAGCTTGTTTTTTTTTTTAAATTCTTCGAAATTGCTCCAATCCCGAACAGTACTATTGAAATAATTAACACACTAATAAAAAATAATATTGATTTAGAATTATAATTTATATACAATTTATTTTTTGGTACGTACTTTTAAATATTATTTGGATTAAATATTTTAAATGTAGTTTTTTTTCTGATTTACAATATAATAAACGGGTCACATATTTTAATTTATACATACTGTAGTTGGTGAAGTAAACATATTAGGAGTGATACCGCCACCAATTAACTGTGCTGCTTGAGTACTTGTAGCAGAAACTGCCACTCTTCCACGACCAGTACTGGATATTGAACCTGGATGTATATTTGGTTGGCCTACAATAAATTGCAAACAATAATAGTTTTATATAATATGTAAATATATAATTAAAAAATAATAATATGCTTATAAATTTAATTTTTATTTTTATAAAATACATGAAGATTTAAGCTTATTTTAATGGTAACATAATACTTATAATTATTTATGATTTACTTTAAACTTTTAAAAATGTTCGTTTCAATCATTGTTATTGTTTTTTATTAATCATTAATAGTATAAGATGATCTTCTACTTGCTAAACTATTAATCCACATTGAGAAAGTACAAGTGAAATTAATATTTATACTATTGATATTCAATGTAATTTTCCTCAGATCCTTTATTATAAATTGATTTATATGAGTGCTGGCAAGTTTATTTAAAGAAAAAATAAGTATATTAATGATATAAAATATTTTCTTTCGTTAACATTATAATAGTCATAACATTAATAGTCATTAAATTAATGGAATAAATATATAGTGTATAAAATGTATATTGAACCCAAATACAAAATAAAGTTAATACCAATAATTAAACGTTATAGCAAAATAATAGAAGTCAGAAGTGTACATATCTAAGTGAACGACTTTAAATAAATCACAATAAATGGTGATCATAAAATAAAAACACTGTTCGAGATCGTGAGAACATTTTTCTTGCCACAACTTCCCATGGTCGTTGGGCACTCAAGAAGATCAATATATCTGAAAAACACTCGTGAATAGTTATATTATTTATTCTCACATATCTAAAATATGCTCATTATTTTTCGGTGCAGTTAAACGATCTTGTTGTTTACTGCGAAGAAGACGTAGACACTGAAAGAGTATCAGATATACGTAAACTATCAAGTACAAAACATTTCCTAAATTTCACTGCAATCCAAAATCCAGTACGTGCGACAACAAGCAATCGGTGTACGTGCGCACTCGGCATCTTAAGACAATGCTTACATTGTTCTCAACTATACCGAATTTTGTCGATCGTGTTAGATAACCGACCACGCCCTAGAGAACCCCTCATATCGCTAAGTCCCAGACAAGGAAGAGATGACCAATAGTAGACCCCCCCCCCCCCCCCCCCCCCCCAATTTCACTGCAATCCAAAATCCAGTACGTGCGACAACAAGCAATCGGTGTACGTGCGCACTCGGCATCTTAAGACAATGCTTACATTGTTCTCAACTATACCGAATTTTGTCGATCGTGTTAGATAACCGACCACGCCCTAGAGAACCCCTCATATCGCTAAGTCCCAGACAAGGAAGAGATGACCAATAGTAGACCCCCCCCCCCTTCCGACACCTTGCCGATTTAGCATATTCAAGACTACACCCGGAAGGAAGTGGAAATGAAGGCGTGCATGGTCCATCATGCTGCCCAAAGTCAAACTCTGATTGGATACAGGAAAAAAGAACGGGTGCCTAGTGGAACCGGGTCAGTGAACTATTTAAGAAGGACAATGCAATGCACCGACTCCTATTTGCACAAGAAAAGTCACTACTTATTTTCAAGGAGGACCAGAGAAAAGTTGAGCAACTGAGTCTTGTAAAATATCTTTCTACTTCTGCGATTAAATATTCAGTTACATTTAGTCTCATCGAGCACATATCGCACAAGGACTGAGATTCTCGTTATCTCAAGGAGAAGCAAAAGAAAGTTCAAGTGCAAGCAGATCATACATGGAAGCTTCCCATCAAGCCTGTAACGAGAAACTGAAAATGTAACACTACAACTTCAAATAAGTTCAGACTTCTAGTGTAGATTCTTCCCTTTACGATCCATTCAGAAAACGGACCGAAAGCTATCCGAGGCGAGAAGCTTCCTGCGCATGCTCACTTATCAAGACCAGCAATTCACGCCATTGAATGGCGAGCATTGCTTTAACCTCTATCTTAGGCACGTGCTCATTCACACGGCCCACTATTCAGAGGCAACGGCACGAAGAATTGTAGTGTTCGTTCAGAGCACAACAAACGATCACAACCTCTGAATTGAAATATATCGCAACGCCATATTCATTAGCGAGAATAATAAAGGTTCATTTATAATCTCAAGAATAATAATCCCTACATTGGAAAGTAAATGGAATAAACTATAATAAGAAATACATGTATTAATTATTGAATCAGTGCATCAACACTTTCTCCAACACAACATCTAGTGGTTTAAGTTTAAGTGGTTAAGAATACACTAACAAGATTATTATCACTGTTTACCTAAAGAAACTCTCGCCTATTCATTGTATCCTACTTTCAATCTGACCTCGATAGATCACTGACTATTTATTATATTCTTATATTAAATAAAAGAAAATCAAGTCATAAAAGGCCGTGTTGAATTATTGCACTATCCATTCCATGTGCCAGCAAGCCTCCCCTCAACACCTCAGGGAAGCTTTAGTCAGCAGCGGAATGGGGGGGGAGGGCATTGCTGACACATCTGGTGACAGCATTGCAACTTGTAGACAGCGAGAAGGAAAGGAAGGTCTGCATGCAGTAATGCTTGATGTAGTTACCGGGCGGAACGAAAATGCAGATGTCCAAACTATAGGTTTTCCCGTGTTTATGGTATTGTTTTTCCAAATGTTTTATGTCACTAGTGCTTGAGAATTTTGAGCAAGCGAAATTTTAAAATCCAAATACAAATTTTACGATGTTACTTGCCAGATGTTTTATTGCATTGACAAAAAGATATTCATATTTATTGCTGATAAATAATAAATTTTTTAATCAATTATAACACGAATCAGAGTATATGTGAGCGAATTTTTAATGTTTATTTTATGGCTCGAACTGCCAATTCAATAGTTCAGTGGATTAGTCTTTCGCCATAGCGATTAGGAAGAAAGAAGGCACAAGTGGAAAGGCTGAAAAGTATAATGTAATATATTTGAGTTCAATTATTATTTATTTTGGTTATGAATTATAATAATATTGTAGCGTTGTTAGTTGTTTCTATTGAGATAGAGAATTATTATATTGTAGCGGTGTGAGTTCTTTCTTGTTCTTGATTGTCTGAGATTTCAGTTGCAGTTCGTGCTCACGCTAGTGATACTGATGTGTGAGATGCACTAACTAATAATAAGAATCAATGAACGAGATGTAGAAAAATCATGAGCCAGATGTGTAGTGATTGAATGGATATTAAAGGAACAGTCGTGCGGCGCGTGGCGCGCTGCGCTTAAATATTCGCCGCATAGCTTTCGACGCCGACAACAGCGCTGTAGCCTGTTGCTATGCCGAAACCGTTTCGACGTCATAGAGAGAAGCTCTGGAATATTCTAGAAGCTTCATCGACGTTGCTATACGAAAATATCGTCGTATATTAGACGTTATGGTGTAAGAAAATTCCTGGAATTGCTGAATCATGTTTCAAACAAGCGTTTATAATTCTCCCAATTGTAATCTTGAATTAAGCTGCCTCAATCCCGAACAATATGTTAATTTTGACATATTTTTTAAATTCTGATTATAATGCTAGACAATATTATGTCTCATGGATTAAAGCTCACAAAACTTTTATATTAAAATAAGACTAAGAATCAGTATATAAAAATGACTTATTTAAATTATTCCATTACTTAATAATTTATTAGTTGACTACCAACACTTATAGTAAATCAGATTCTAATATAAGCAAATCTAATATAAGTTGTTGATAAAATATATTATTTGGTTATTACAGAATTTTGAAATATTTGTATTAATAACTAGTTTCAGCTCATCATATAGTTATAGTAATTAAATTATTGAAATAGTAGTTCAATATTATTTATGCTATTATCTAAACTATGTTAATAAACTGTATTTTTAACAAGATTACTCAAATAGATATTATATATAACAAAAAACAAAATAAAAATAATTAAAATAAACATTTAAAATAAACTATATATGCTTTTATCAGTGGTTCAATTTAAGTCTACAATTTTTTTATTATTAGTATTAAATTAAGAATAAATTCATTCTATAAATTATCTAAATTAACAATTCACATTAATGTAAGGCTTTATTTGTTGCTTAATATATAATTACCAATTGCCAGAAGGTTACCAGAGTTAACTAAAGTTCCTGTATCCATAGATACTTCTCCGAGGCCATTTACAGATATCCCATTAACCATATTTACAGCTTGACGAGCTCCTTGAACATCTAATGTACTCCAGTACGATTCACTAGGTGATGTATTATTTAGACCTGGTGGTGGTTGAACAGCTGCTCCGGTGTATCTAAAGTATGGATTCTTTAAATCTAATGTGTTTTTGCTACTTCCCATATTTGTTCCTTCCAATTTTAATTCAATAGTAACATCATACGATTGTCTATAAATGACAAACAAATAGATTAAGGACCAGATAATTAAATAGGAAAAAATTTATAATAAAACACAATGTTTAAAGTATTATTTATTACAATATTCAAGTGTAAGTTTCATGGATATTTATTTGATATACTTAATTTTATTTTACATAGTTGTTTACTTTTTGCTTTTTACAGAAGCTCTGTGTGTATGTGTCTTTACCACATAACATGTAATCCGCAAATAAAAAATAAATAAAATTTGGAAGATACTGTATAATGTATTAAATAGATTACTTTTTAAAAATATAGATACATAAGGCTAATATAGTTACAAAATTTTAATAAGCAGTTATATGATTCAGATTTTTATATTCATTATTTCACATTCATATTAATAAAAACATCTCAATATAATCATAGTAAATAAAATTATATGTATTTTAAAACATATCGTAATCTATTTACTGTAAAAAATTATTTAAATTGTAAAATAAACCTAATCTTTATATTATAAGTAATCACCTTAATCATAACATTTCAAATCTTAAAAACCCAAACAATATGAATTAAAATATCAACATTTATTGTACTACTTTACATTGAACATATAAACTACTATTTCAGATATATTATAAATAAATTTGAAACCTACTTCTATAGTAATATATTACATAATTATTTAGAGAGCTCATAAGGCAAGTAACAGAAAGATGTTCCCCGTTCAAGAAATTAAATACATAATGATTGCAGAATTTATCTAACTATAGTATTTAAAAATTAAAAAAATAATCTATATAATATACACAATGAATAAAAATGATCTTATTATAAATAACAAGAAACTGAAATTCTTATGAATTTTAATTTTTTCTATATATTTCTACGTATTTTTTAATGTTTTTCCAATATATGGCAATGTAATATGTAATTTATATAAACAAGTTTAGAAATGTTTACATATTCTCCATTAACAATATCCTTTTAAGAGTGAAAGTAAAATCTGTTCATCATCAAATAGCGGTGAATTTATTTTTAAAGCATAAATATTTAAAGCAAGCACTTGTTTGAGTCAATTAAGAGACACACTGAACTGTAAGAAGCCTCCACACTCAGTTCTGTATCGGAGCTGTTCTCTGGATTAAGGCGCTGCAGTTTCTCTATTAGATGTCGCTGTATTCGGAGCTGTTCTTTGCGCCCTTGCACTTGCAGTGCACGCTATATCTTCACGTGAAAAAACCACTAAGGAACGGTAAAATCACAACGATTCTCACCAATATCGTAGAATCATATTTGTTTGTTTGTAAATCAGAACTTAATAAATAGCACGAAAAACAATTATGATGATTACTGAATTGAAGTATTAACCTTTCACTTATCCACACTGTTCCACTAGTAAAATGGTGGATATCGTCTAATCCAACCACCTTGGCCTTTCGACCATCGGGTGACTGGAATTTCGAACATTTGGTTAGACATAGAATAAGATACAATATAAGAAAGAGTACCTGGCTTTTATCTTCATTTAAATTTACTTAATTCCTAAAAACTCATTGTCAAATTTTTTATGTACAAAGTAATCGCAACTACATTAAAGTGCATTCAGCGTATTTCTCTTACTATTTATCACAATAAATATTTTCTATTATCAACTAAGATTGAAAATTAGTTTCGATTGTATTATGTTATATAATTTATAATTTTTTAATTTCTTCGAATTAAGTTTTAACATATTTCTCTATTTTAGGGTGAAATCTTGTATATATTATTTCTTATTTGAAGATTATTTGGCATAATATTTCTTTTTCGAGTATGGATTCTTTTTTACTCTCCTATTTCACCATTCAAGAGATCTATAAAAATAATTACGCCATTGTAAAGATATGAGTATAAGGATGTAATTATGTTCACGAGTTAATATTAAAGTTAGATAAAATGACTACATGCAACATATTCAAATATATACACCTTCCTGGTTCTAAATACCAAAGCAGCTAACGTACAATAAAATAAAGTTTATCCATTCTATTGATTTTTATATTTGATATATAAATGAAGACTGAGAAAATAGAAAACCACTGTTTATATAAGAGTTTACTTTTATGTATATATTAAAAATATATTTTTGGTAGGAAATGTTTATATAAATTTGATAACATTCTTTTCTATAGTAAATAAATATAACGAAGAATTGCATTTCTAAGTTATCTAATTAATGTATGGAATCTGAAATTCACCACGTTTGAATGTTTATGTTAATATTTACTAATTAAATAAAATATTTTATAATTATAAGTCAGGTACTAATTAAAAAACTTATTTTTCAAGAAAGTGAATTGTTATTCTACTAGAATATATGTTTTTAATTATATTAATAATATAATTACCATTATACTATCTTAAATGTTTCAAAATGTGAATTTTAATATTTTAAAATACTAGTATACTTACAATGCTTAATAATAATATAAATAAAATCCATATTATTTTATAGAATTTATGAAAATTATTTAAAAAAATTAATAGTTAATGTTTGATAAGTGACTAAGTTATAAATTACGATCTAATTTAACTTAAAATTATACAAATTTATAATTAATTAATAGAAAATTGTTCTATTATTGCGATTTATTGAGAATAAGTCACTCATCTAAAGTTATTTGAGGGAAAAATTCCATGTACTTTCGCTGTTAACATTTCATATCTATTATACATTTGTAATGTATTTGTTCGAGATTGAAGCAAGATTATATTTACAAAATAGAAGTTTTATGAAAATATTAAATAATATAAATGAATTTAAGAAAATGATGCTTATCATATTAATTTACACGATTATTTTTTAAGATATAACCTTTATTATTATAACTTATTGTTACATTTCTATATTTAGTATGCGTATAAATAAAAAAATTTTTTATTATACATACTAATAAAGCTTCATAAAAAGAAATAATAATAGAGGAAATAAATATAATATTGAAATCACTTAATTTTATTTAATCAAGATATTTACTGTGGTATAAGTCATAATTACAACAAATTCTTTCATACTTTGATGTCCACAAGGCATAAAAAATAATAGATAATGATAAGTGTTGTATTATAAAGCCAATTAATTATATGCTATTTAAATATACTTCTAAATAAAGTAAACATTTCAATAAAACTAACATAAAATTAATGTCCCATAGAAGGAAAAATGATTATCGTTGTACGGGATTGAAGCAAGCTCCAAGACCGCCGATTGTCGGTACACAGGCCATTTAGATCTCAGATTTCTGTAAACACTTAGGACGAGAATTTTCGTATACTTGTTATGTTTTGGTTTCAAATGGCCCGCAATGTTTATATGGTCTTTGGGTAATAATCTCGCCCGGAATTCTCTAAAAATTATTACGCCTTGATTTTTCTTTCGTCGAATTCTCGAATCTTCTAGATTCTTTTTTTGTGCGCCTTATGTAATATTCCAGTGCAGCAACGACGATGGCTTGTTGCCAGCTAAGGAAGCCGCCGCGTGAATATATAAGGCAAGCACGCGGCGTGCCTCGCTCTCTTACTGAACTGCGCTTGCTGCAAGCCTTTTACCGTGACCCGACCGCAGTGAACCGATCTAACCCTTTACCAGTAGAAGTCATGATACGGGTCTCGATCGGCCCTCAGCAGGACCGCCATGTAACGATCGGTATTTTCAGCAGAGCTGCCACGGAACGATCAAGCCTTCGGTTTTCGTGCGCGTATTCAAAAGGCTTATAGGCTCGTTGTAATTCTACCTCTCGTTCACTCATCTGTTATTACTCAGTGCGTTCTAGTATATACTGCGACAACGACACGTGGTCGCATGTTCGACAGCCAACCTAAAAATACATGTGCATTATTAAAAAGAGTCAGCAAGAACAGGTAATGATGTAACAGTGAAGCCATTGGAGTCGTAATCAAAAGGGGCACGCCAGCCACTCAACATGCCCTGTCGGTAATTTACAAAGTACATCCCTTTATATTATTTAATCAAGCTAGTCACCCACGGGGAAATCGAGTTTCATATAACTTCTATTCAAAGAGTTGATATAAATGATGAAGTATGTCTCTCAGACTAACAATTCTGAGAACCTCCATCTCATCTCCATACAGTAGTCACAGGTAACGCAATACGCTCTCGCAGGCGAACACGCCGGAGAACGTAGGTTCACCGCACTACAGTCGACTGATGACGCAATACGCTCAATTACATTGTGAAGGTCAGACAACAGTTTATCAAATAATCGACTATAAACACATTTTCATCATGTTCTTCAGAGCTCGAAGGTTTATAATTTATTATCTTGCGTGTGACTAGCTTTCAAGTGCTCCCATCATAACCAGAGACATAATTGATTACGTACCAATTTGCATCAAGACTTTTTACACTCCATCAAGTATGATAATTCTTTCTACCAAGTATACTTGATTCCAACACCATCTTCTCATGCTCATGAATGAGCATCATCGACTACACAGGCTGATCCTTACAATATCAGTATAAAACCGACATTCAGGATCCATAGTAATCTCCATAGCCTTAACGACATTACCCTGAAGATGTAACCTCACCACAGCAATAGAATATTTTCCCCTCTCTCACCAGAAGCAATCAAACTGCAATATTATAATAATTGACAACAAGAATAAACGATATTTTCAAACATTAATAATATACTGTACTTAATTTCAGCCCTTCCACTTGTTATTTCCTCGTAAGGCATCACGACGAGACTAATCCACTGAACTATTGAATTGGCAGTTCGAGCCATTAAACAAACCCTTAATAATAGAACAGTATTTCATTCAGATTTTTTTTTAATTTCAAGATAAATTTATCAAAAACTATTTACACTAATAATATTAATAGATATGAATTCTAATTTAAAACTAATTTATTGATTTATATTAATTTAATAAAATTCTATATATAAAACAAGACTTACCTTTTGTTAGCAATTAAATTAACTATACCGGATAAAAGTTGTCCACTTTTGCAAAATAAAGGATTTTCAAGCAAACACCGAACTTGATACCAGTGAGTAAGAGGTTCTGTAGGAGCAGTACTTAGCCATACTTGTTGCGTAGACCCAATGAATGCTACATCAAACCAAAATGCTAGTCCATGACAAGTGCCACTTTCAAGAATATGAAAATCCACATTAATTTCTAAAAAATATATAATTTATATTACATATATGAACACGGTAATATACTTTTAATAATTGAAAAAATCAAACACTCTTTGCAATACTAAAAAATGTATTTTAGTAATAGTTTGAATTTAAATCCCAATTGTGGGAATAGTTTCTGTTAATATATGAAAAAAATATCAATTTAATCTGAGTTTTTTTAATTCTAATCACCCAATGTTATATATTTATTCAAATAATTTATTTGTGTATATTAAAATTTACAATTTATTTATTGATGTATATTACTTTTGTTGCCTTGCTTTGAATTGAACGAAACACTACATTCATCCTTTCCCTCACTATATAGGTATTTAATTAATATTGAATCGTCATTGTAACTTGATTACTAGTATATGTTCCATACATTTAAAGTATCCAATATTTGTCAAAAACAGCAATACATTTTTATAAAATAGAAGATTAAACTAAAGTTAGGAAATTAAAGTCTTTACAAATAATTTTATTTGTCAAAATAATCTAGAATGAATAAATGATGCTACCTTATATATAAAAATTTGTATTATTATATACAATTATAATTATAATATTAATATATTTACAATTAAAAATATCTTTCTAATGGAATTTTAAAAAATCGCTGTACTTTCATAATTTAATAACTAAACAATTTACATACAACAAAAATATAAATTATTTTCAGTAATTTTTAAGCCACATAATTTCAAAAAAAAAAAATTTATATTCACCACTATTGCAATATTAAAGAATAAAAATAACAATTTTCACCGAAAATTGTATATATTTATTAACATAAATCAATAATCAGTAAAATTATCATGTATTATTGCTAAGTAACTATTTCTGCAGAAAACAATTGATACTAATGAATTTTGTAACAAAATTTATTTATTGTATTCGTATATTCTCCCTGTATAACATTTTCAAGAGGAAAAGATTAATGATTGAATCGAAAATTCAAATTACACAAAATGATTTATCTATGTATAATTGATTATTGATACCAGACCTGATTAATTAAAAATTATTCATAAAAACTCTAAGTTATATTCGTAAACACAACTCGATTGTATACAATGAATGTTACAACAAAATTTATGCGGAAGTAAAATTAAATTAAAATTAGAATATAAATTGATAGTATTGTATAATGACAGTAATAATAATGTAGTGAAATACTTGCAATAATTTACAATAAAAATTAATAATAACGAAAATAATCATGTTAATCATGGATTAAACTTTTTAACACTGAATAGTTCAAAGTATAATACGTAATTTTATTAGGAATTATAAAAATTTTATATTAATTTTATTAATTCCATTGCCCTTTATTTATAAATTCGTTCGTTCATCTCAGATGAATTTTATAAATTTTGATTGTAATTTAATATTAATTATTGTCAACATTTTTTAGTAAAAACAGTTCAATAGTAATAAACCTAAATATGAAATTTAGACAATTTAATAATGCTATTTATATACACATATTTGGAATAAAAAAATACAAGAAAACTTTTCTATGAAATTTTTTTTTTTTAATTTTCCTTATGGATAAATTTGTAAATATTAATATATTTCATACTATTTTTAAAATATTGAATATTAAATATTCATAATTAAGCTAAAGAATTAATATATAATTTAGTTACAAAAATATTTGACCGTGATATAATGAATAGCTTCTGAAAGTTCTGAAGTGAAAATAAATATAAATGAAAACATATTTCTAATATAATTAAGTATGGTATTTCATTACATTATAAAGAAAGAATTGCTAAGGCAATTCATTATTTGCACGAGATTTCTTGTTACTGTATTTTACTAAAACGTAAAGCCTATTTCATATACTGACTTAGTGTATTACTTTTATATGATACCTAGTTTCAATGTCGGTTATTTAATGTGTCAATTGCATAACACGTTTAAAATATCCACAATTAGAGCAATATGTAAAAAAAGCTAAAAAGGTTAATAAAAAGGAAGCGGTACTCTGTAAGGAAGAATAAAGTAATTTTGTGATTCACTAGTACGTTTTTGAACTTCAATAAAGGTGTATTATATCAATGGCTAACACATACTTAATTATTTTATTAAATTTAATGGTGTGATGAATATACCATAAAACTAAGTTAAATGATTGACTGTAAGCAAATTTTTCCATAGCATTTACAAAAGAAATGTGAGTCCATTTACCGTTTTTAATTTTTACACGCACTGTATGTTTTGATCTTCGTTCTTCCTCAATTCTTTCTAAATTCTATCTTTTCTTATCTTATTTTACTAGTTGTACACCAATAAGTCTGTCATCTTTTATTATTATTATATATATATATATATATACTTATCGCTACAAATATAAATATAATTATGATTTATATAATTTTTTTTCTATTATTCATGCTAATATTTAAGAAAATAAAAACATTTTTTTTCTTTATATAAGATTCATATTATTTATTATAATATATTATGGATTCAATATTCAATGTTGATTAATAAAAAATTATTTTATTACTTTTGAAATTCCGAATTGATAGTATATTTAATGAATTAATCTTGATATTCTAAATTTTTTAATATATTACATGTTATCAAGGATATATTGATATTTATGAAAATATAAAATTTAAAAAAATTTAGTTATACTTTGGCCAACAATTCAGTAAATGAGAATCGTAATTTTTCTTAATGCATTAATTATAGATAAGTAATCATAAATATTAACACAAATTTTTTTTTTAAGAAAATCATACTATATCCTATGTAATTAGAATATAAATATTAACGATAAATTAATAACGAAAACATTTTAAATGTCATGTGTTTTATAATATTCCTGTGGATTTATTTAATGTTATGAAGCTGCCATTAACGAGTAAGTCAGAACATGCCCAAAATTGTAATCATGTGCGGGTGTGATTTTGATACTTTGATGTCGTAATCCACTTTAATGTTGTTTATACAGTATTACTGTGCAAAGAAACTTGGTATATTTGAATTAATAAAGATTAATAGATTATATTCATTATAATTTTATATTAAATCAAATTACTGTAAATTTCTTAGTTTAACAAATTTAATTAATTTTATATTTTGTTAAAATTATAAGTATATTTCTTATTAATTTTTTTTATAAATAATCGGCAAATGTCCAGTGATTTACAATTTATTTGAAAAATAAAATTATAAATGTTATACTTTATTACAAAACGAAATCCCTTTTTTGATTGAATTGGGTTTGATTATAATATAATACAAATTCTAGAAATATATGATTGTCGAGAATCAATTTTCTATTGCCTATACCATCTAAACCCATGAGGCAATCATCGATCAAAAATCGGAAATTTTTGATATTATATAAAACTTATAATTTATTGTTTAGAGATATTTATTATAGTTCCATTATATTTAATTTTTTAAAAATAAGCTCAGGTTTCCATTATTTTGTAAATAAATCATTTATTGGAGGTATAATTACTTTTGTGATTAAAATTTTAACCTATTTTTTTTATAGATAATTTCATTAGCGCATAAATATAAATATCCTGTATAGCTAATAGATTAAAATATGTTATGAAATTTAGAATGTAGTTCGATAAATTTTAATTTTAATAGCTTTATGTTCGGAATTTTTGTAAGCATTTTAGTCCTCGAATGTTTGTAAAAATTTAACAAACAGCATTCTCAAATACAGCTCAAAGCTTTGATTCTCGAATGTTCAGCAAGGCTGCTTAGTCTTCGCAAAGCACCGTTGATTGAATTCTCGCATCATCCAAAGCGTCGCTTTCGCCGAATTCTCGAATAGCCCAAAGCTTAGATTCTCGAACCTTCCATAAGGCGGCTAGCTCCGCATAGCAGCATGAAGCAGTGTTGCCAGGTTTAGCTGCCGCGCTGATACTTGAGGAAGCGCGCATCAAGACTTCCGATAGTTATCACTCAGCAGTCACACAGTACACAGTGTCAGTTATTCCTCCAAGTCATTTACTCGTCCTAGCCACGCCATTAAACGGAGTCTACAGCGGAGAGAAACTCACGCAACACACGCTCTCTTAGAGCAGCTATTGCAAGGAACACGCGTTAAATTCTCCAGTGCGCAGCGGTTAACAACCAGTCAAGGGCTGACTGCAGTACTAGGAAATAGTTGAGTACGCGAAACATGGTATCGTTCTTACTTTCACACTAAGGTTTACCTATTGAGAATAACTGCCACACTCCCCTTCTTAAGTATGGCTCTTCTCCCTGCTAATCCTTACTACGTTAGCACAGACCACAATTCCCATATTCTCTTTATGAGTATAGTCAACTCTCCCTGCTAATCCCTGCCACATTATCATAGATTATATTTCCATACTCCCCTTATGAGTGTTCTTCTTGCTAATCCTTTATCGTTAGCATAGACTTCAACCAAGCCATTTCCCCTTTCAGGGAATATACAAAATCCATTGCTGATTCCCATAACCTCATCGGCACCATCACCAATGACCAACTACATAATTGTGATAGAACATAATTCACACTCTACGACGAAAAGTGAATACAGAGCAATAGTGTAATTGTCAATAAAACCGGATAAACGCTGTCTTAACCGAAGTTCATATACACTTTACATATTTACGGCCCTTCTACTTATGTCCTTTCCTTAGAATCGCTGAGGCGGGCGACAAATGAACTGAACTATTGAACTTGGCAGTTTGAGCCAGAAAACTAAATTTATTTGATCTTTTGAATTCGATCAAATATATAAACTTTCGAACACATTATGTATTAATTAAATTTTAAAGAACTATATAATAGGAATATATACAATCATCACTACAATTGACATTAGATTGCCATTTAAGAAAAATAACTGATTAATAAACAATTATTTTGCCTGAGTAGCTGTTCGAGAGTGAAAAAAAATCTCACGAATTATATTCATTAGAAAACATTCAATAGCCATTATAATAAGGAATTATCGACATACAGAAAAATCTAAGAAAGTCCCGCCAAGGTTAGTATATCTGGAACATACTCGTAAACAGCCACTTTATTGCCTTTCGTACTACAGACGTAGTAATTGTTTTGAATGCAACGAAGTCCCTTGCGACATACCATCAAAACTCGGCTAGCTTGTTTACTAGAGTATATTTTGAGGATTAAATTATTTGTAAACAATTGAGTGAAAAATATTTCTTAGTATCCGTTACAACCCGACAATCGGTACGTGCGACCTTCGGCAATCTGCGTCGCACGTGTGCCTTCAATACCACCAGCAAGCATGCATTGTTGTCAAATACGACAAATGTTGCTGCTTGCATAGGCTAAGCGAAGACGCTTGACCAAAAATCACCTCCACCACGATGAGTCTCAGAGAGGGGCAAATCTTCCACTTCACGCATTGCCGCCAGAGATACTCCTTCGATATTCTCATTGTCTAAGCTTAATTTTTTATGAAGTGGGAAAAAGCCGTGCACATTCATCATGCCGCTGAAAAACGGTGCGCCCTGATTGGAAAACTAAGACCAGAAGCTCCTTGAATGGGGACTCATAGCAAAAGGCCTTAAAGATGGAAACAAGGCAGCGAAAGAACGCTGTCCGCGTGGGCAGCCAAGGGCTATCTCAAGAAAGGTTCAGTTCAAAAGGGGCTATTCTACAGAGAAGCACCAGGTCAGGAAGGAACTTTACGCTCTCGTAAGAATTGGTAAGCTAGTGACCAAAGTACGTGCGGAGATCTACTGACTAGAAGATACATCAACCTTAGTATTATCCGTCGACGGAACACTGATCACGTACGTTTGAGTTTATCGCATGCCACTTTGGTGGTCAACTTGATATTATCACTTCACCTACTAGAGGAACGGACGACCACGCACGCTTGTGCTTTGTGGTAAATCACTCAACCCAGGATCAGATCAAGAGACTGCATCACTGTGAGTACACTGTCCGCGTAACCTTATCATTCTTGCTCACCGATGGCAATGGACTTCATAATTAAACGATTTCAAGAGCTTCTCGTGTAGTGACACCTCCTATACAAGAAGCCGTTCAAGAAATCGCATTTTACATAAGATTCAAGAAGATACTGCAACACCCAGATGTAAATTCTGTAATAAATTGTATAATAAATGTATAATTAACCAACTCTCATGACTCTTGTACAGCCTCTCCATCTCACTCCTTACCTATCGTCTGCTAGTGCGGGCGGAAAACTAAGCTATTGAAGCATTAGCAGTTCGAGCCAAGAATTACATCACTATACTTTCGAACAGTAGCGAATATTAATTTTTATATAACAGTATTTATTGATAATGGTTATATTTGACTAAGAGTACATGTATTCATTGTATTCAAGTAAAGAATATATTAAAAGTTATTTAATTCATAAAATATTTTATATAGTATGTTTTCAATAAAAGTAAAATATATTAACTTATAATAGTAAATTAAACATAGATACGTTTTAAATCATAAAAATGATTCAGTTTGTACAAATTTGTATTAAGACAATATATTTTCTGATAAAAATTGCTTACTACATATAATTTTAAAAATAGAAAACAAAAAGGAAATAAACATGGATAAAAAAATATGAATATAATATAAATTTTATAGACACACAATAGTCTTCTACGAGCATTGACAAGTATATTCATGTAAACATACTACTAAACAGTGGTAACGGTAAGCAGCTCGAGTTAGCCGACATATCTAACGATGACAGCAGCAATTAGAAAAAAGCCGCTTCACATTACACCATGAATACAATGCTCAAGGTATAACTGTTCTTATTTTGTTTCTTTTCATTCGACCTTCGTGGCCGTTGTCATTCATATATCAATCAAGCTAGAATATCATTTGTCATAAGTCTTCAAAATAATCATTATAACGAAGATAAGCAATCGAACAAAATTCACGTTTGATAACTCACATTTTATGTATAACTCATAGTATTGATCTATATTAAATTAACTTTTTAAATTCTGCATTAACTCATATTCTCTGTCTTCCATCTTCAAAATATATTTATAAAATGGAATTTTTTATTATTTACAAAAATGTCGACATATTTATATGTTATTATATATAGTACTTAAGTATTTATAAAATTTATAATATCTAAATATAGTAGGCATTTCTTAAAATTTTTATTTGCAAAAGTTCTATAAATTTTTTTCTGGTAGTTTCCTATTAAAGCAGTAGAATGCACAGATAAGAACAATATATTTCTGTAAAAATATGTCAAACTCCTTACAAAATATTAGGAGTCACACTAATTAAAATTAATGTAGATTTGACATATTTATACAATGTACGCAAAATAAATGAAAATTTTAAACTTGATCGTGTCAGATCATACTTAAAATACTTTATATAATATTATAATATATATATATATATATATTATTATAATAATTATCTTACAACTTAAATAAAGAAATTAATTAAAAAATTTTTTATGTTTAAATGCCAATTATTTGCTGTTTTATTACGTAGTTTTTTACATGTAATATTTATAAATACATACCTATTTTGTGTAAATCTGTCTCATTAGCTGTTTGGAAATCAACGATATGACGAACGGATTTTGCCATGCATATACGAACATCAAATGTATCTACTATAGGTTGCCTAAAATATTCTTTAATTGCATGACTTTTCATAGCTGATAAGTCTACACCATGAAAGCATGTTTGATACCAAAAATTAGCTTTATTAAACTGTTCCATATATAAATATTCATCCGAAAATGGAGCTATGTGTAAATCCCCTCTAGATGGAAACATTCTACCTCCTAAAAATATGAACATACCTAATTATAAAAAAAACACGAAAGCCAAGTATACGTACTGTTCGAACAGTTCGAACGAAAATTAATTTATATACAATATTAAACAGTTTAAGAATATATTTACAACGCATAACTTTATTAATCCCAGTTTTTACTTTTATATATTATACTTTCAAATGATACTATAAATATATAAATTTTACATTCCTCATCACTTAGGCAATATAAAATATATACTAATTTTTAATGTAAATTTAATTTGATCATCGACTGAGTTTTTCTATTATGTACATATTATATAAAAGTAAGATATTAAATGATATTCGTGAAATGTTACTTGTCATATCATTATAAGTAAAAATGTTTATTATGCTAATATAACGACAAAAAATTCGATAATGGAATATTATAAAGAATATAAAAAAATTATAATTAATTGTTTTATTATATTGAATAGTATTATAACTTAAAAAAAAAAATAAATTAGGTAAATATAAGTATTTCATAAATTTTTCAAATTAAAATTAGTTTAACTATGATACACATAATAAAAACATTTAAATTTAAATATTACTTACATTGATACAATATATAATATAGATTACTAAACAAGATTCGAAAATTATCACAAGTTATATTTTACAATTGTTTTATGTTTGTCTACTTTTAAATTCATTTTATAAACGCAAATGTTTTTATTTAATTTGTTTTTAATGTAATATAGATATTTTTATGTTTACTAATTCAATATTTTGACCATCAGCAATTCCGAAAGGTTTACATATTAATATTGACTTTAATGTATCTTTAAAAAACCAAACTGCTATTATTCTTTAAACTATATAAAAATTCATTAAGACAATAATTATTTTTAAAACATAATATATTTTTTCATTATCAAGTGTTTGTAAGTCTAAGCCTATTTTTCAATCATTTTAAAAATATTAAAAAAAAAACTTTAGAGAACATTTGAATTAACGTCCTAAAATTTTAACGCGCTTTTTTAACTTTCACTACAATTCTATAATGAAAATAATAAATTTCCTCACAAAATACTTAAATATAAAAAATATTATTTAACCCACACGTAAAAAGCAAGTGGTTATCAATGTGGATAATTTATTTTCAAATTACATTTAATGTTTAAATATTTGTTTTACTATACACATTTCAAATAAGTTATATAATTGTGAAATTTGGAATTAATTGATCAACTCAAAACTAAATATGACAATATATATATTCTGTAAAAATTACAGAATATATACCAAATAATGAGTGGTTTTAAGCACTATAATGAAGCATAACCACAAAATTTTTTTATTATTTATTATAAGCTTTCATATTCTGTTATTTAATATTAAGTGTATATTTTTCCTGTATGATATATAATAATATTTATTATATTAATCCATAATCATTAGTTTAATATATACGACCTTGTTTAGGCATAGATTCATTATATTAGCTAAGTTGCAAAGTTATAAGTAAAAAAAAATTGTGCAAACAGGTGCGTGTACAAACATTTTATTATATAAACAAAATAAGAGGAGATGAATAATGAAAAATTACACTTTTTCGAGGGATATATAGGTATTAAATATTGTTGAATAGGTGTTATACTTTGTTGGAATTTGATATTATTGTAATATGTAATATTGACATATATATATTCGCCATTTATTTTTGAATAATTTAATGTATAAAAGTATTCTTAAAACAAACTTTATTTAAATATATAATATTATATATATATTTTAATTATGTACAATACACTAAATGTTTCATTAAAATAATAAATTCTTTGAAATCCAAGAACAATAAAAATATTCTTATAAAAATTAAATATCTGCGAAAAGCAATAAATTAAAGATCATATGAATTAACGATTGTATTGAGAATATTAATTTTTTATTATTGTATTAATAGATTTATACACAAGATAGTATTATTTTTAGCAAAACTAATTCATTTAATTTCATCATGTTTAATATTTATATACAGTTTACGTTAAAATTAATTAATAAAAAAGATATTTTTAATAATTAATATATGCCTTATACAAAGTTTTTCTTATTTTATCATTGTATATATATATATATATATATATATATATAAACAATACGATATTTCTAAAGATGTTTCCATAATTTATAATTTTTTTTTATAAAGTATAAAATTTTAGAAGATAAAAATCTTTCGATATTAATTATTACTCAAAATAAAAATTTCTATGTATATATAGAAAATATATATGACGTTACAAAACTTCAAATTTCAAGCTTCTAAAAATACTATTGGATAAATTTTAATATGAAATTGTTTGGTGTATCAGCGGCAAATACGGGTGATGTAACGGTTTGATCGATCCGAAAATGAAAGTGGAGGTAGTGGTCAATAGTGGCTACAAATGACCCTGAATATGAGCAATTTTAGTCAAATTCACGTCATTTTTATAAAATTGCTTCCAATAAAATAAATATCTTAAAATTCCTTAAAATGACTTTATTATTTAGAGTATATATAAAAAATACATATAGAGTAAAATGTACATAAAAAATTTATTTTGAAATTTTCAAAAAATATTTACGAAGTGACAACTTTATATATTATTTTTTGGGGTGTCTCAGTCAAACTGCAACAAATATCAAAATAAGATGGTTTTCTTGTTTTTTAAGATTTTATATTTCTTTCTTACATATACTCTACTGGAAATTTTAGTTCTTTGTTAAATTAATCTAAATAGAATATTATTATATTTATTTATATAACTAATATATCTTAACATTTTAAAAATAACATAGTAAAATAATATATAATACTCCCTCGCAAAGTTGATAGACTGCATATTGGTTAGTACTTATTTAATTTTTATCATTAATAAAATATGATATAATTTGTATTAAAAATAGTCAAATGTGTCCTTATAACTTCTTTCATGTATCTCATTTCCATAAGTGTTTTTGTCCGTTGTCGAACGAAGTGTATACAATTGTGAATTTAGTAAGTATGAGCAGGACTGGATTTATCTAAATAAAATTCAGAACATATCTTTATTTACCTAGCAGCGTAGTTAACAGCAGAGTTAAATAATATCCCCTAGTTAATCTTATTGTTATAAATTTACTTGCTGTTTTTATTGGAATTAATACTATATTCAGCGTTACTTTATTAGTAAATAATTTGTCTTGCCCACTACGACTCTCCTTAACACACCATTCAAATAATATATTTATTTTTAAATAAAAATATTACTTTCGAGAATCTGCATATCTAAATTATTTTTCATGTTTACTTAAAATAATAGCTTTTACAATTTGTACGAAATTATATCAGTAGTTATGGATGATAGTCAAATTGATAGTTAAAAGTCGTTTGTCGTATCCTCTGACATAAATCTTTTTATTTAAAAACGGCAAATAAAATATATATTGTTTATATAATATAAAACTCAAGAAACGATTCAAATTTAAATTCATAAATTTGTAATTTCAAATGTATACAATTATATTTAAAAATACGATATAAATGTTGTAATGTAATACACACCTGAAGTAAGCCACTTTTTAGCGTGTAGATAAGTTTCAAGCATTCTTTCATTATACAACATATAACCCATAGGTTCGCTTACAATGCAATCAACTAATTCTGGAATTTCAATTTCTTCAATTTTTCCGGCAATTACTATAATTTTATTTGATAAACTATTAGCTGTGACTAATAATTTAGCATGATTAGCCATATTACTGGCTTCAACAGCATAAACTCGTTTAGCACCAGCTTGAGCAGCAAAAAAGGATAGTATACCCGATCCTGCACCAACATCCAAAATTACTTTGTCTTTGAAATCTGATAAATTGCCTAAAATTGCACGTTGATAAGTACTCGTGCGTACATAATCTTGCATCATATTTTGTTGTTGCGAAAGATAACCATAAAATTGAAAATATTGCATAGCTGAAGATTCTTCTGTACGATTATTAAATACTGATTCATTTTTCTTATTTTTTAATTTTAAAATCTGTAAATGAAAATTGTGAAAATCTGAAAGTAAATAATAATTTTAGACTATTTAAAAAATTCTACTATAATTCAATTATATCATAAAATTAGATTTTATGTGCAGTTGAACAAAAAGTAGTTATGTATTTGAAAAATCTAAATAGAAAAAAGTTGTATCTTTACAACCTAAACATGATGCATAAAAAGAAATAATTATGAATTTCTTAATTCAATGTTCAACAAATTTTCTAATTATAAAGAATGTTTTGTTTTAATTTTCCTTGTATTTTAACATAGATAATATCATTAGATTAGGAATCAAAATATGTTTCAAGTATTTTCTTTACTTCATTTAGTTATAATTATTTATGAGCCTCAAAAATGCATAAAATATCAGTCTATATTTCATTGAATAATGGTTGATATAAATATTCCATTTAAAATTAAAGTGTAAAGTATAAAATGAGATTTGTTTTATATATGTCTTATGATATTCTTAATTTATCTAAATGAAGCAAATAAACTTTTTTAAATTATTTCAAATTATGTAGTATTTAAATTACCTTTTGAGGCTATGGTTTTGTATAAATAAATTGTTCACGTATATAATATTAATAAGAATTTAGATATATCCATGAGTATCAATATGGTAAATATAATATACTTTTATGGTTATAAAAACAATTTTAAACATAAATATCTGAAATACTTCAAATAATTTACATAGCTATGATTAAACAAGTGTTTTAATATATTTTTAATTGTAAGAAAATTGTATAAAAATAATATATTCTGTTGTATGTATACTTCTAACATCACATTGTATATAATGGTGTAATTTGTCTTATATTCAATTAAATTATACTCAGAACGAATTAAAAGTATCATCGCCATTAACAATGTCGTAGAGGTAGTGAATAACGTGAAATATATTAATATTAATCATTCATTTAGATTATCAAAGACTATGTAGCCTCCATCATTTAAGTCAGAGTTGTGAACTCCACTGTTAATAAATGAGAGAGTTTAAGTAATTTTGCACATTATTTTGTAGGACTTGATAAAAAAATATACACTATTGTAAGTTGATAAAATATTAATTTTATATTTCAAATTTAAGTATTTGTTACAATAGAAAATTTTTACATAGTTTAATTTTACACGATATATTCATATTAGTAATTGAAATAGTTATAAAGCTGTAGACCAAATATTATGACAAGTAAAAGTTGGGTATTATGTCTATAAATATGTTTCAATTATTTTATATATATGAAATTTAATTCAAAATACATTAAAAAAAAAATTAGTACATGCTTTTTTACTAAGTACAAAATTACTGATTATAATAATATGGTTTTAAATTATAAGTGTTTGCAGAGCGTTCAAAAAACAAGTATGAATTTAAGTATTTTTTTTATTTAAATTTAAAAAATATTTTAAATTATAAAAAATGATATAATTATTTAATACAACTGAAGTCAAATTGGAATGAAAAAAGTGAATTTAATGTGCAATATTAACATATTATAAATGTATTGAATTTTTTAAATTGCACGTACCTTTATTAACTTAGTCGACAGCATCGCAGGCGCATTATAATTAATTATAGGCACTTGGTTAGCTATCTGAAAGGTGTTTGGTAACGTTGATATATAGTTATGTCGTTTCTCATAAACTGATACAAATAATTTAAATTTTCTGTCTACACTTACGATATTTGAAAAACTAATCCTGGTTTCTTTTTCTTCATTCTTTATATTATATTTTTTTATAAGGTATAGAAATTTGTTGCTACACCTTTTGGTTACTAAAGGGTGAATAGAATTTTTAATTTATATTTTTAATTATATACTATTTAATACAACGTTTTTTGTAAAATCAATTCTTATATAAAAATACCTTGTATTTGTTTTTAAGTTATGATTACATTATATCTACATCAATAATTACCCGCATATATATGTTTTGGTATCCTTGCTTGGTTTGGATTAGAGCTAGAAATTGAATCTAATACTTCACTGGATATAAGATCTCTATTTTATTTAGATCTATGCTTTTGAATGATGATTAGTTTATATAAGATTTGCTACTGAAGTTGGTTAAGGATGCATGCAGCATAAAATTATTTAAGAAAACTAAATAAATTTGGATAGTCACTTTTCAGAAATATTCACAGAAACAAGTTGAGAAAATTATAAAAATATTTGTTATGAAGAGAGTTGACAACTGTTATCCACAGATTCATCATGAATGTTGTTTCGATGCTATATGTGGTGAAGTGTATAGCTATCCATATTGATGAGTTTTTGCTTTATTAAAAAAATTTATAAAATTAAGATTGAATATTACTTGTAAGTTAAGTTGGCAATTTCCAGATTTTGGAAAAAACTAATCATTATAATCCAAGTTCCCTCAGAATTGGATAAACTGATATTATGCTAGAGATGATTATTGATTTTGAGTATAAGCCAGTGTAGTAAAAGTTTTTACCAAGATGTACTCAAAGTAGTGAATATTTATCATTATAGCTTTCATAGAGTGAAGTCAAATTTTGTTATTCTCCAAATTTAGTTAATGTTTAAGCAGGTTTAAGTATGATGTAATAAACAGCATTTCATTCGGCTAATAAACAGTAATAATTTAGCATTACAATGTTCATAGTAATACATAAGAAATCTGAGTGCCTTTTGGCTCATGTACGGCTTCACATGTAGGTTTATTAGGATCAATCTCAGAACCTTACTTGTAACTTTATAGCTAGTATTTTTTTAATTTGATTGTTTTCTTATAATACTATTATTTTTATTTCTTAACAACTATATTCGAAAGTTTGATTCATCCCGACAATTTTTTTTAGTATAAATAAATTGGTTTATATCTTTTATATCATGATTTCATTATAAATAAATTATAAATCAATAATTTTTCTTTATAAAATAAAATTCTAAAATGAAATCCTATTTTAAGACATTTTAAACAAAGAATTTAACAATAAAATACTATTCGATTTTAAAGGTTTAGTTTATGGCTCAAACTACCAATTCAATAGTTCAGTGGATTAGTCTCTCGGCAGAATAACTTCAAAGAAAATAATAAGTAAAAAGGCTGAAAAATATTATGTATTTAGTGAAGTACTAATTTATGATGATTATATAAATTAATTTATAATTAGATTCAATAATTTAGTGAAGTATTTAGTGCATTGAAGTTGAAGTAATGCTGATGTTGTAAAAATCAGCTGGTGTAGTCAGTCAATCATGCTTGTGAGGTAGCATGAGAAAATGGTGTTTCAATCAAGTATGCTTGATGTATGAATAACTATACTTGATATGGTGTAAGATGTTTAATGGAATTTATTAAGTAATCAATTGTGTCTTTAATGATGTAAGGGGATAGTAGAAGAATTTAGTCAAAGGTAAGAGCAATTAATGGTGAGATTTCTAACTCGTGAAGGATTTAATAATCTGTATTTATAGTCTATTAGTCGATCTGTTGTTGTCCTTGTGTGACAATGTGCTTTAAGGCATAGCGATTCTTAAGTCAGCTGTTGATGGCCTGTACGGTTCCGAAGTTTTCTTCGGAAGAGTGTAAGTGTTCCCTGTTTGGGCTAGCGGGCCTGTACGATGTCAAGGGTTAGTAACGAGAGAGCGTACGTTTGCCCTGTCAGAGCGCAAGTTTGCCCGACTTCTTGTGTGCGAGGTGTGACTAACTGATTAATTAATATAAAAAGATGTACCTTTTAAAATGCAGGCAAGGTGCTTTACTGATGTGTGATTGATGTCCCCTTTGATTACTGTTCCATTGGCTTCGCTGTAATCACTATTTAAAACTGTCGATTTCCTTTTCTTATGCACGCGTGTATTCCTAACTATGCTGCCGAATCTATGGCCACACGTCGTCTTCACAGTATACTAAAACACTGAGCGGCAGTTACACTTGAGTGAGCGCGAAGTGATGTTACAAATGAGCGTATGAGCCTTTTGAATACGTGCACGAACCGAAGGCTTGATCGTTCCGTGGTGGCTCTGCTGAAAATACCGACCGTTCCATGGTGGTCCTGCTGAGGGCAGATCGAGACCCGTGTGTCATGGCTTCTAATGGTATATGATTGAATCGGTTCACTATGGTCGGGTTATGGCAAGATGTTAGCCGCAAGCGCAGTTGAGCGAGGGTTGTACGGCAAGATGATTCTCAGCGAGAGCTATCTTCAGCAAGAGGTCGAGACGCGCCGCGTGCGTCCCTTATATAGCCACGCGGCGGCTCACGTAGCTGGCAACAAGGCATCGTCGTTGTTGCACTAATTCTCACACGACGCATCGAAGGAAAAATCTAGAACCTTTGACAAGAGAAAAGTATATGGGTGATCTTACAGTATATTATATTTCGGGTCGTAAACTTGCTCAGACTTGCCGAGTTTTGTTTGTAAACATTCGCTCGAGTATCCGTCCCGGTCCGCACGTGCGGGCTAGTCTAGGCGCACATGCGGTACGCCGGACAGCGCGTAGGACCTTTCTTTTGTTTGAAATTCATGGGACTGCATCAATCCCGAACAAATACATAAAAAAAACTAGAAATAAATCATAGAATTTCTCCATTCAGTATTACATTTGTAATACAAAATATACTTATTATAATTTTAAGGATGAAATTTTATCATTGGGTTTATATTAAAATATATAATAAAAATGGAATAAAACTAAACAGTATAAAAATGCTAATAATTTAGAAAATAGCTTTTCAAAATAACTAAAACATATATTTGAATTAATCACAAATTATTCTTAACTAATAAGACCAATAAAAAAGTTGGGAAGAACAGACTAAATAAATGAAAAATAATAATAAAAAACAGTTTTAAATAAATCCAAATATTTTAAGAGGACTATAATTTATCTCATTTTTTAAATTGTTACCTAATTCATTATGCGTGTAAAATAAGTATTTATATCATTATTTGTAATAATTTGGATATTTTATAAATAAATATAATAAAATTTACTTTGTATTTTATTTGTCTTGTATTACAACTTTATAAGTTTGTATAAAATATTATTACAAAAATAAATTATGGATAAATATTAATTTGTATTCAAATTGCATCTACAAACTTTCAAATTTGAAATACATCCAGAAAATAGTTCAAAATAATAATAATAAGGTCTAAATATATAGTACATGTGTAATATAAAAAATACATTACCCAAATCATTCGGAAATGTTAGAAGATAACTATCGGGTTCTAACGTAAAAACATAACTACGATTTGATACTTTTGAGCAGTCAGTATCATGTACTAATGGAATATGTAATAATGAATATTTACTTTTTTGAGCTGCATCATCTATTTTGAACATTTTAAAATTATATTAATAAAATTTTTCATTTTTAACAAATATTATAAAAATGAATTAAAATAGGTATATATTGTTACAGATAAATTTCATACCAAAATTATAATTTTATTAATTTATATTTTTTGTACAATTTACTTGAATTTATTTATTCGTATAAATATAATTTTCATCAAAAACTATCAAACAAGAAAAATTTATATGTATTGATTTGATCTACTAAATTCTGATAAAAGAGTAGTATATAATATTTCAAATAAAAATATATTTTTTTGCAGTGTTAACTTCTTTCAATAAAATATTTCGAATTTAATTTTCTCCTATTTGTATTCAACAGCACAACATTCTCTAGAAAAATCCTGAATTAGTTTTATGTTATTATTGACCATGTATCATTTAATATTAAACATCTCAAATAAGGATAATTAATATATAAATAATGTTTGCCACCCTTTTAACAAACTGAGATTATCATGAACCATTACATTTTTTTCTATTACCTGCACCTGGATATACAGATATTTGTATTGCTGGATGGAATTTATACTTTAGTAGATAATCTTTGAATGACACTCTTTGATACTTTCATACTTCTATATAATATTAATTATATCCTTGTTTAAAATACTCCACTTAGAAATTTAAAAAATTACTAGCTTAAAGAAATATATGAAAATCATAACTGTCATAGATAAATTATCTATTGATATACAGATTGATCTAAGAGTTTAAATAGTAGATATCCATCTAGTAACTCTTATATTTGTTCAGAACCATAAATAAAGTATTGTATTTGATTTTGAAGACACTCAAACAACAAATTTATTAAAATTATGTAAAAATAATAATTTTAACCCATTTTTTTCAAAAACAACAGAATTGAATATTTATTTTATAAAAAATATACATTTTTTAACACATTTCACATACAATTTATCATATAAATACATTATTAACAAATATTTTGTTTAGTTTTTTAAATTATATTCTAAAAATCAATCAAAAGATTTAGAAATTACTTAACATTAAAAAACAAAACTAATCTACTTATTTAAAAAAAGATTAAGTAACAAAAATACCAAGATAACAAAGGGTGTTATATAAATGTATTAGTTGAAATTCATTAGTTATTACAATTTAATAGTAGTTTCAATCATTAAAAATTTATAATTCCTAATATCATCAATGTTACTGGAATAATATTAAGTATATGATATGATTCACAATGTTCGAAAAACACAAATTTCCTTTGTGTTAAAATATTTAGAAATATATATAATACACATTGCCAAATTAACTTATTAGATTCCACATTATAAGTTATGTATTTTTTTTAATCAATTTATTATATTCTTATATATTAATTTTATAAGAACTTTCTAAACTTCAGTAGATATGCAATATTAATAATTAAGAATATAAGACAAAAAAAATTTTAATAGCAAATTTTACTAGCAACATAAAATATAATTCTATTTATTAGAGAATCTGATCATTGATAGCTTAAATAATTATTTCTTTCATTAATTTCATGTATTTTTATATATAAACAACAAATATAATGGCAATAAATATATTATTAAATTATGTTAATTTATAATTTAATAAAAATAAAACTGTTATTAAAATCTTTGTCGATATTAATAATATTATATAAATTATATTTATATAAATATATTTATTATATATAGTTATTAGTATTAGAAAATATAAAATCAAATTTCATGGTATTTTTAATATAATTAAAAATTTAAACAAAATAGTTTTGATTAATTACTCACATTTATCTGAATGCATTTAAAACTGAAATATTTATTGTTAAATTTTATATTGTTAAACATTTGAATAGTATATTTATTATTAATAATAATGATAAAAACATTTGTTAAAAAAATAATTATGGATATATTTGTAAAATAAACATTGTACATTTATATATTAATTAATATATAAAAGGATGTATAAATTTAAATTGAGCATATTTTATTAAATGGAAAAGATAATACCTGATTGAATTTCTAAACAAAGACCTTGTGGATCATAGTTAATTTTTAATGTAACTGCATCTTTAAACGTAGGATACGTTTTCCCATTATCAAGTAAAGTTAATACTCTTATAGCTTTAAAAATATTTGCCATTCTAAAAAATTGCTATTCACTATAATACGTTCCAATGCTCAGTAATTGTTTTTTTATTACAAAAATGAATATGCTGGAATATTAATGGTATAGAAATACATTAAATAAAGATATACACATTTGTTAGAATGGAATCACTCATTTCTATTTTTATAAAAAATTGTCGGAAATTTTTAAAAAACACAAGTACAACCTCTTGAATAATATAGTAAATGATAATTTTTATAAAATAGACCAATCAAATTGTTGCTTTTTATTTTTTGATAAAGAAGCAGTTTATTTGCGAATTACAAATGAAAAAAATTATCAAAACTTTAAACATTGCACTATAGTAATTTTTCAAACCAATTTAATTCAATAAAAATGTTAAATACTTAGAATCAATTTTTCTTATATTTAAAAATGTTTTATTGAATAAAATTTATAGAAATTATTTAGTACGTGTATTTTATGCGCCTACAGAATATTTATAATTGTTCGTCCATGCGTTTTAAAATAAATTTTATTATTAAGAATTGCTTTTATATTCATGTATAATCTTTTACATTCCTTGTAGCGTTCCGAAATTCTAAACGAGGAATTACATATAATATGATTTTTATATTATATATTGAATAGATTTAAATGAAATATAAAAATAGTATATGTTAAATACAAATTATAAAATAATTATTTACTAATAATGATATCATCATTAATCATTTATTACATAAATAATAGTTATCTAAGAATATTCTTAATACAAATTTAGTGTTATAACCGGTGATCCGAATTACATATGTTTGATTAACGTATATTAATAATTTGACTGATCGATTCTTATAAATACGTGAATCACTGTTTATTTGAAATTGTCAATTAATCTGATTATTTATATGGTTATTCAAATAATTTGATCAATCAAACGGATCTAAAGTTAGGTTTTAAAAATAAAATAAATATAATTTATTTTATTCTATTAATAAACATTATTCATATCTACTAACATTTCGATTAACATATCTATTAACAAACATCAAATTAGGAATTTATTTTAAGTAATATTGTTATGATTTTTAAAATTATAAGTTTTAACTTTTAATTTATAAGGTATCTAAAATAATGAAACTTTAACACTAACATATTTTATAATAGAAAATTTTGTATAAAAAAATTGAAATTGTTATACTGTTTCAGTGTTAACGAGTAAGATTCATTGTAAATGAATAAGTAAAAGTCATAAATACAATCCATTGGTATATTTTTGTGCTGATTGTTAAAAGTACAATCGAATTAAGAACACTCACAAAATTGAGAAATTTAATTTAAGAAAGAAAGATTTATAACTAGGAGGAACTAATTAATCCAATCTTTAATTTATTGGTAATTAAAAATTTTAATAGCTTTCTTGGATATTACAAATTGTTTCTGCTAATTGTGTATACATATCGCTTACGTGTACCATTTTTTCCAAAAAAATCTTAGTTCCGGTTTATGATTTTCTATTTAGATTTTTAAATCTTATTTCGTAACTTAATAAAAATTATTTGATGAACTGTAAAAACAAAGACAGTCGGCACTTGTACACCAAGTAATCAGTATACTAAAAATATTAAGTTAGCAAAAAGAATTATAAAAATATATTAATAGAAGTTCAATATTAAAAGAGTTTGTTAATTTTTTTAGGTATCTATACTTATTAAGAATTTAGTCGTTTCTTGTTTCATCATTGATATTAGAATAATATTCTAGTGTATTATAAATACTAGTCATTTCGTTAATATGAATATTCTTACTGATTCTTTGTTTCCACAACTGTTATTTTGTTTCCAAATTATATAAATCATATAATGAATATTATATCATTATTTATGATAATTTATTTTTTATTATTAGAGAAATTATTCTCCTAATATTTTTATTAAATAAATATATCATTTTTTATATTGTTACTTTATAACAAGTGCTATTTAATTTAAAATAACTTTTTATAATAAATAGTAACTATGTATAATCAAATGCATTGATTTACAAGTATATAATTCTCTCACTATATTTTTATTTTCTTTTTTATTATAGTTACTTACTGTATAATTTAATTATCTGAGCCTTTTGTAATTTCTTTATTCTTTTAAATTCAAAATAATATAAATTTTATAAATATTTACAATAAATTAAATTTCTTAATTGTTTTCTGTAATTTTTTACCATTCATGTAGTTCACCATCTATTTATTGATTTTATACCGACATTATATATTTTTTCGACTTCAAATTAATTCATGCGTAAGGTGCTTTTCTTCTTAAATTTGAAGTCCTATAATTTAAAACTTTTATAAGGTGAGTTCTATTTTCGTCATATTTAGTGCACAAGACAATTATTTGTACAATCCAACGTTATTTTTGTAAATATACTAAGTTTTTAAATTTTATATTAACAATTATATCAATATACTTTAGTTTGCGAATAAAACAAACAAATCTTTTTTTGTCTATGTAAGGAACAGAGAATGAGTTAATGAAGCTAGACAATCCTTCATGAAAATGTAAATTACAAAATTTGATTCACGCTGATAGTTATTACTGTTTTCCTATTGTTACGGATTAAAAACTTGAAAGTCGAAAGTGGAAGAGGTATGAACGCGTAATTCAGTTATTTAAACAAAATATTACCAACGAATGTTCCAGGCTATTCCCTGTTGACGTCACGACTAAATTGTCATGGTAAAAAACATCTAAGAGAGAAATAGTGCGATAATATTTAAGGGCTGCGCTTCACTCAGCAGCTCAGTTTGCCTCAGTCTATTAACAATTACACAATCATTATAAAACGCACAATATATTTTCGACTACATCTACAAAAACTACAGTTTAACAATACATATAATTAATAATCAGTTAAGTAATAATCTACGAAAGAAATAGTGACATTTATTTAAATTATTAATAACATATTAGTGACCATAAAACAATAGTGAAAATATAAAATATATTGAAGCAACTCATACATAAGATAAGACCGACATAATAAAGGCGCGGCATCAAGCATAATAATATTAAAACATATTACAGACAAGACCAGGAATAATTGCACTGTCCCTTCACTTGCCAGCAACACCTCCACCCACAATCTAAGGAGGTTTTTAGTCTGATCCCAGACACTTATTTACTTCTTAATATTTTAATAATTTATTTGTTGATGTTATAAATATTTTTAATGTATTTCTTCGAATGATTAATTTTTTTAACATTCATATTGCATAATTAGTTCTAAATTGCATTTTTTATCAGTAGCAAAAACTTTCTTAATTGGTAGTTTAAAAGACTCAATTATAATAATGTATCAATCAAATATGTATGCACCTTTTTTTGTAATCAACGACCAGTAGCATTTCTTGGGAAAATGCAACACTAATGAAATCCAATTACAATTTATAAGTCTGTCTGAAATAGTATATTATATATTTATTTTTATTGAGATCATCATGGAATATATATTACAAGCATTTTCTTGGTTAATAATAATTAGTTAATATTATAATTAGTAACGTTAATAATAATAATAACAAATTTATTGGTTCATAGTTTTTATAAAATATAATTAATTGTGTATTCAAAACATCTATAAATTTAATCCAACGCAACTATGCGCTTTATATATTGAAAATTAACTTAGAAATCATCAAAATAATATCTCTCACATCTTCATCTACCTCATTACGTTTTTTATGGAGAAGTTATCTAAAATGAAAAATACCTGATATAGCTATTGAGAGTGTTCTAATTCATATTGATTATAATGATATATAATATCTAAAATCGGTGTGATTTATAAATTTTGAAATAAAAAATTAATTTTGTTTGTTTTTAATACATTAAAATATACGATATTGTATTTTAATTTATAGAAGTAAATAAATTTAAATTAAAAATGTGTATTTAAGGTCATTTTAATAATAAAATAGCTTTTCAGGTATAGGCTTACCTATTTTGTTTACACATAGATATTAATGTTAATAAAATATCATTTGTATCAATAATTATAAATGTACATTACATTATACATATATTTTTTACATTTCGATGTAAAAAGAAAGTCATATGAAAATAATTCATTTTTTAGTTAAGTTTCATATGTAAATTTAAACAATAGTTTTATATGCATATATTAATTATTTTTATTACAATATTAATTTTATCCAAATACTTTTGAAATAAAGTATATTTTAAGTTAAATTAATAAAAATTAATTTTTCTGATATAAACAAGGCACTCATGTATTATTCATATTTTTATTATACATATAGTATATTTATTTGACGTAATATGTATATATAATAATTTATATATTTATATAATTTTAAACTTTCTTTTGCGCATGTCTTTAATGAATATATTTGTCACTTTCATTACTACGTAATTCTTATATAAATATATATATATATATATAGTTCCAGTTTTTGTCCAAAAATTGTAAATTTTTTTGTTTTTCATAAAGTTTTGAATAGTTAACTTAATTAGAATTAATTTTTATTATATCATGTCAGATTCTAGATTACGAATACTTCGAATAAAAACTGGAGTTGTGAAGCGACTGGCTAAAGAAAAAATCACGTATGAAAAAGAAGCAGTACAACAACAAGAAAGAATAGAAAAATTTAAAGAGCAAGGTGAGCTGCTCATGTAAAAATAAACCTTGTACGTAGTAGGTTATAATTAATAAATATGGTTTATTTGGATTTTTTAAAATATATTTGTTTCATAATTTTTTTTTAAAGAAAAATCATTATACAAAATTGATGTTTAAATCCTTTAATTTTACCTTTAAAATAGAAATTATATTTGAAAAATTTATTAGTTTGAATAGATTTAATGACTTCTTGATATATAAAAAAAAATAATTATTAAATATAATATTTAGCATATTAATTTTTTATTTATTTCGAAATTTATATGGGCTTGTAAGGGATTTGTAATTGGATAAACAATACTACATATTAATAGATTTGTATATTAATTTTAATTTAATTATTATACATAGTTTTTATTTTTTTATGTTTTGAAATGAAATAATGAAATATGATTTAGAATTAATAATAAAATTTTTTATTAAATTCATATTTTATTCAATTCATATTAAATTCACATAAAATCATATTTTTATGTGACAGTTTGTCATGAAATTGAAATTTAATCATAGCAATTTCATAAAAATTACAATTATAGATATGATTATTAATTATTTTTTTTATTATTATTAATAAATTTATAATTTAAGTTGAAAAGTAAATTTCTAATATAATATATACATTACTATGATATATATTATATAACACAGTAATTTGATTTATTATTTAAAATATTAATTACGTACATAATTTTTATTCAACTGTTGTTATATATAACATATTAGAAATAATTTCATTACATCAATTTTATGGTTTATTTATTAATATAGCACGTTTTGTTTTTTATATAATATTTTATATAGAATATGTATTTAATATCTAATAATAATATGGACTAATCCAGTTTATTATTTTCAATTTAACAAAATTATAAATAAATAGATATATAATAAACAGTATTTCATTGTTAATATGTTGATTAATTAAATAAAAATAATTATCAGTTTTGTATTATTCCAATGAGACTTATAAATTATATATAAATGTATTTTTAATTGTTATATTAGAAAATGTATTGACATATATAAAAGTATTTCATATTTATTCGAAAAATTTAAAAATGGTTGCTTAGAATTATTATAGTATTTATTTGTTGATTTTATAAAAGGTCTTGAAATATTACTTATAATGCAACACCATAGGGTGAAACATTTAATTGAAGTAACTTATTTTATTTAATTCATACAATATTTTATTGTATTTTTTATGTTATAATTTATAATTTAATTTTATACTTAATTTAAATTTATTTTAAATAAGGTTTTTCGTGATAATAAAATTAATGTTTCAAATTAAAGCAAACATGAACAAACAACTTATTTTTATAAGTATTATTATAATAAATTGATAGTAGGTTACAGTATATTTTGATACAGAGTTCCTTATGAAAAATAATTAATATTAAATTAATTATAATTTACAATTTTTAATGGCAGTGTATTTCATACTACATTTATTCCTTATAATATTCAGTGCACTCTATAACATAGTTTCTTAAGGTAATGCGAAAAGTTAAAATAAACTGTGAGGTACTCAATAATTTAAAAAAAATAAAATTTAAGCTTATAACTTTTACTGTATTAATATATATGCAACATATAAAAGTATTTTTGCTTAATCAAATTTGAATGAAGTCCAGACACAAATCTTTTTTATATTTTCATTTTATCCATATTTAATAGTTCACTATTTGAAGAAATTGTGAGAAACATTCACTATAATTCACTAATGTTCATATACAAATATGATTTTCAAATTAAACAAACTATAATATAAGTTAGTTTTTGTTTTTGGCGTAAGATGAATACAAGCTGATTAAAAACTGATTGAAAAATTCAATTTAATTAACATTTTATGTAAAAATTAAAATTATTTTAAAGATTAATATGAAAGAAATTTATGTAAAATATATTTTATTATTTAGAATACAGAATAAAAATAATATGATACACTGTTAATTGTATATTAAGATAAATGTTGGAACAAATTAGAGCGCCTTCTCATAATTAAAGTCATATATTAAAAAAGTAACCTTTTTTATAATAAGTGAAATTCAAAAAATGTAACTTAAAATAAATAAATACTCAGTATAATAAATTTATGTTTATATTTCTTGTATTAACATTTATTTTAACAATATTTTCAAAAAATATTCTGTTGTTATTGAGTTAAAAGTACAAAAAATACTAATAATAATGAAAAAATTAATTTTTATTTACTTTTATTTCGTTTCAGTTTGATACTATTATCAAAATAAATACGTCATTAAATATTCAAAATATTTTTTCTTCGAAATACATAATTCTATCAATGTTAATAGCATCGTTTTAAAAATTCGTTTTTTCATTTGTTAATATTTTTTATTGTATAATTTTCAACCAAGTAAAAATTCAAGAATTTCTATTTTTTGAATTAATTAAATATTTAAATTTTAAATTATCTATACTATTGTTAATTATAATATTGTATCATTTATTTGAGAACTATTTTTTGTTTATATGAAGTGCTATATGTATGTATATATATATAGATACAGATTATATTGCAAAATTTTTACTTTTAACAAATATGTATGTCTCAATTCTTCAAATATATAAATATATTTCTAACAACCATTCATCGTTACAATAATAAAAAACTTTAATAAGGATAATAATTTTTATTTAATTAAATAAAAGAATATAGTTTCTGTATATATCTTACATATTTTACTTTGTAAAATAGATGCAGTTACTATTTATCGACACGCGTAAAAAATAATTAAAATAGAAGTTTTAAAAAATTATGGTCATATATGATTTTATGTTCAGATATTTTGATATTAATTATCTTTCACTATTACAATAAATAAACACTTATATTAAAATAATTAATAAAAATATTAATGAAATCAAATGTTTAATTTTAAATTTTTATATTTGCACATAGAATTCTCTTTAAACTTAAATTATATAAATTTGTAATTATGATAGATTCTATTTTATATTAAATATAGTTTTAATTTAAAATTAAAATGCTCATTTTACGAAATAATTTATGTAACAATATATGCAAAAATTTAATTTATTAAGTGGGAATTTTAAAATAAATAATACCTGTTGTCAATTTGTTTAAATGAATTTAAATAATTATTTTAAATGTTGAATTATAAGGTTTATTTTAAATTGGATGATCGACATAATTTTGTTCTTAAAGTTTATACCACTCAATACTATACAAATACTTTTTAGGTAAAGATGGACATTTAATTAAGAAACAAGAAGAAGTATTACAAGAATCACTTATGATGATACCTGACTGTCAACGTAGATTACTTAAGGCATTTGAAGAATTAAAACAGTTTATTGAATCTGAACAGGATTTAAAAGAAAATGATGAGTACTTAGAAGGTGAAAAAGTTTTAAAAGAATCTGAAACGCAACTTCTGAAGGAAGTTTTAAATTTGTAAATAATAGTTCAATTATGTAATATTTAACTAATAAATGGAAAATTATCCCATATTTTGAATACCAATTTTATATTATATGACAATTCGCCTTTAAAATATAACAACTGATTAGTAAATTATTCTAACTGATACTAATGAATTTAAATGACAATATTAAGACAATTTTTATTTAATATTTTAAATATTGTTAAAAATCTATATAACTAATATTTTATAACAAAATCAAGTAAAGTACATTTAAAGACTTAGTATTGTATTAATATATAATGTTTTCAACACCAATAATAAAAATTAGAAAATATGATGAAATTTTTTTGAAAAATTTTATTACAGAAACAGAAAATAGTTACAGTGTGAAAATTAATAAACATATAAATAAAGCAAACATTAAAACTGCTATTATCAAAACGTGTTGTTTAAACAAACAATTAAATGAATTAAGTAATGCATTAAAAAATGATTCATTTGATTGGAATAAATTAAATTTTTGTGAGAATCTTAAAAGAGACATAACAATATTATTAGAGATAATTAAATCTAATAAGTCACAATCTATTAATAAGAAAAAGTTATCATTGAAACAATCAAGTACATTAAATAAATTAAAAAGAAAAAAAGAAAAAAATAAATGGATTTTAAAAAGAATATATGCAGATAAAAGGAAAAATCGTTTGGAAATTAATGTCGACAACTGGATGAAATTGAAACAAAATGAAATTGACGAAGAAAAGGAAAAAAATGTATTGCATAAAAATGCAGACATAGTTCTATCAGATGTTAGAACTAATCGTAGTGACGTTAAAAAATTTCTTATAATTTTAAGAGAGTTGGAAAATTTAAGAAAAGTTAAAGTCACCATTGCAAGGAAAAGGGGAGAAGTAATTGCCATTGAAGCTGATAAAGTTTTTAATAATATAATTGGTATATATATTTTTATTTTTATTTTATCTGTATAATTTTTTTATTAATTCAATTTTTAGTCAAATTAATGGAACAATGGACAACATTAGACAGAGAATATTTTCTAGAAGAAAAAGGGTTAAATCTTATGATAAGAACTGGTAATGAAGAAAAAGTGTTAAAACGTACAAAAAATTTATATCAAGATTGGGAAGTGGTTTTATTCAAAGAAAAAATATACATTAACTATGAAATACAAAATTTTGTAATATTAAGGTTAATACATTATATAGCAAGTTTTCATAAATTTAGTCTTCTTAATTTTTTATTATTTCAGAATGTTATGGGATACATATATTAACAATAATGGATCAGCAATACCAATTGGATGGATCATACCTTTTGAATCTTCTTGTAATTCTTGGAAAAAAATTAAATAGTATAAAAGTAGAATATGTTTGGAACTATTTTAATGAATTGTAAAAAAAAGAAAATATTATTTATAAAATAAAGCATTATACTATGTTTAAAATTATATGTTTCTGTGCAGTTATTGATGGTGCAAAATTATATAAATGTTTGACTTCGGGAATAATTATTGTTTCTGCTGCAGAAAGCATCATTTCTAATGACCCTTGTAGTTCTATTAGCGATAATATTAATGCTTGTTCTTCTTTTAATTTTTGTGCAAGGTGTTCAAACATTACTTGTGATTCTAAATTTAATTCATCTAATCTATCTCCATATATATCTAAAAGATTTGAATTTTCTGACTTTATATTACATTTAACAAAAATTTTTGATTTATACTTACCCATAATAGTATTTGCAATATGTAATAACACTCGTCCAAATCGTATATTACCAATTTGACGAATAATAAATCTCAAAATATGAACAAGAGATTTTCCATTTCGACCAGCTAATGCTTGAATAATACCTTGACGACGAATTAGTTCTTGAAAAAGCGCAACCGTAGTATGAGGACTTTTTTTTACAATATAATTCATTAATACGTAATCGAGTGCTTTTGAATATTGAAATTTTCTTAAACATGTATCATGTTTCCCCATTACCTCTTTAGGTACTTCGTGTACGTACATATCAAAATCGATACAATGTAAACTTGCACCAGTATATCTATAAGATAATTTTTTCTGATTCAAAAGTTTTTTTTTAATGTCTTTTTCTCGTTGCCTAATAGATATCATACCATTACTCATCCCTGCTACTATAGTTTCGTTATCAGCCTGCAAAATATAATATATGTAAAAATAATATGAAATAATAAACAACGATATCTTATTTAAATTTTTATTTCGATACAGAATAGAATTATTTTAATAGTGAAGCTTACATGATTTTATAAAACATTAAACAATTTTCAACAATCAACAACAATACAATAACAATAACAATTATCCAGTATAGTTAATTTAATTGCTAACAAAAGGTAAATCTTGTTTTATATATAGAATTTTATTAAATTAATATAAATCAATAAATTAGTTTTAATTAGAATTCATATCTATTAATATTATTAGTGTAAATAGTTTTTGATAAATTTATCTTGAAATTAAAAAAAAAATCTGAATGAAATACTGTTCTATTATTAAGGGTTTGTTTTATGACTCGAACTGCCAATTCAATAGTTCAGTGGATTAGTCTCTCGGCAGGATAATTTTAAAGGAAAGCAATAACATTAGCATGAATAATAGAAAAAAAATTATATAAATCATAATTATATTTATATTTGTAGCGATAAGTATATATATATATATATATATATAATAATAATAAAAGATGACAGACTTATTGGTGTACAACTAGTAAAATAAGATAAGAAAAGATAGAATTTAGAAAGAATTGAGGAAGAACGAAGATCAAAACATACAGTGCGTGTAAAAATTAAAAACGGTAAATGGACTCACATTTCTTTTGTAAATGCTATGGAAAAATTTGCTTACAGTCAATCATTTAACTTAGTTTTATGGTATATTCATCACACCATTAAATTTAATAAAATAATTAAGTATGTGTTAGCCATTGATATAATACACCTTTATTGAAGTTCAAAAACGTACTAGTGAATCACAAAATTACTTTATTCTTCCTTACAGAGTACCGCTTCCTTTTTATTAACCTTTTTAGCTTTTTTTACATATTGCTCTAATTGTGGATATTTTAAACGTGTTATGCAATTGACACATTAAATAACCGACATTGAAACTAGGTATCATATAAAAGTAATACACTAAGTCAGTATATGAAATAGGCTTTACGTTTTAGTAAAATACAGTAACAAGAAATCTCGTGCAAATAATGAATTGCCTTAGCAATTCTTTCTTTATAATGTAATGAAATACCATACTTAATTATATTAGAAATATGTTTTCATTTATATTTATTTTCACTTCAGAACTTTCAGAAGCTATTCATTATATCACGGTCAAATATTTTTGTAACTAAATTATATATTAATTCTTTAGCTTAATTATGAATATTTAATATTCAATATTTTAAAAATAGTATGAAATATATTAATATTTACAAATTTATCCATAAGGAAAATTAAAAAAAAAAAATTTCATAGAAAAGTTTTCTTGTATTTTTTTATTCCAAATATGTGTATATAAATAGCATTATTAAATTGTCTAAATTTCATATTTAGGTTTATTACTATTGAACTGTTTTTACTAAAAAATGTTGACAATAATTAATATTAAATTACAATCAAAATTTATAAAATTCATCTGAGATGAACGAACGAATTTATAAATAAAGGGCAATGGAATTAATAAAATTAATATAAAATTTTTATAATTCCTAATAAAATTACGTATTATACTTTGAACTATTCAGTGTTAAAAAGTTTAATCCATGATTAACATGATTATTTTCGTTATTATTAATTTTTATTGTAAATTATTGCAAGTATTTCACTACATTATTATTACTGTCATTATACAATACTATCAATTTATATTCTAATTTTAATTTAATTTTACTTCCGCATAAATTTTGTTGTAACATTCATTGTATACAATCGAGTTGTGTTTACGAATATAACTTAGAGTTTTTATGAATAATTTTTAATTAATCAGGTCTGGTATCAATAATCAATTATACATAGATAAATCATTTTGTGTAATTTGAATTTTCGATTCAATCATTAATCTTTTCCTCTTGAAAATGTTATACAGGGAGAATATACGAATACAATAAATAAATTTTGTTACAAAATTCATTAGTATCAATTGTTTTCTGCAGAAATAGTTACTTAGCAATAATACATGATAATTTTACTGATTATTGATTTATGTTAATAAATATATACAATTTTCGGTGAAAATTGTTATTTTTATTCTTTAATATTGCAATAGTGGTGAATATAAATTTTTTTTTTTTGAAATTATGTGGCTTAAAAATTACTGAAAATAATTTATATTTTTGTTGTATGTAAATTGTTTAGTTATTAAATTATGAAAGTACAGCGATTTTTTAAAATTCCATTAGAAAGATATTTTTAATTGTAAATATATTAATATTATAATTATAATTGTATATAATAATACAAATTTTTATATATAAGGTAGCATCATTTATTCATTCTAGATTATTTTGACAAATAAAATTATTTGTAAAGACTTTAATTTCCTAACTTTAGTTTAATCTTCTATTTTATAAAAATGTATTGCTGTTTTTGACAAATATTGGATACTTTAAATGTATGGAACATATACTAGTAATCAAGTTACAATGACGATTCAATATTAATTAAATACCTATATAGTGAGGGAAAGGATGAATGTAGTGTTTCGTTCAATTCAAAGCAAGGCAACAAAAGTAATATACATCAATAAATAAATTGTAAATTTTAATATACACAAATAAATTATTTGAATAAATATATAACATTGGGTGATTAGAATTAAAAAAACTCAGATTAAATTGATATTTTTTTCATATATTAACAGAAACTATTCCCACAATTGGGATTTAAATTCAAACTATTACTAAAATACATTTTTTAGTATTGCAAAGAGTGTTTGATTTTTTCAATTATTAAAAGTATATTACCGTGTTCATATATGTAATATAAATTATATATTTTTTAGAAATTAATGTGGATTTTCATATTCTTGAAAGTGGCACTTGTCATGGACTAGCATTTTGGTTTGATGTAGCATTCATTGGGTCTACGCAACAAGTATGGCTAAGTACTGCTCCTACAGAACCTCTTACTCACTGGTATCAAGTTCGGTGTTTGCTTGAAAATCCTTTATTTTGCAAAAGTGGACAACTTTTATCCGGTATAGTTAATTTAATTGCTAACAAAAGGTAAGTCTTGTTTTATATATAGAATTTTATTAAATTAATATAAATCAATAAATTAGTTTTAAATTAGAATTCATATCTATTAATATTATTAGTGTAAATAGTTTTTGATAAATTTATCTTGAAATTAAAAAAAAATCTGAATGAAATACTGTTCTATTATTAAGGGTTTGTTTAATGGCTCGAACTGCCAATTCAATAGTTCAGTGGATTAGTCTCGTCGTGATGCCTTACGAGGAAATAACAAGTGGAAGGGCTGAAATTAAGTACAGTATATTATTAATGTTTGAAAATATCGTTTATTCTTGTTGTCAATTATTATAATATTGCAGTTTGATTGCTTCTGGTGAGAGAGGGGAAAATATTCTATTGCTGTGGTGAGGTTACATCTTCAGGGTAATGTCGTTAAGGCTATGGAGATTACTATGGATCCTGAATGTCGGTTTTATACTGATATTGTAAGGATCAGCCTGTGTAGTCGATGATGCTCATTCATGAGCATGAGAAGATGGTGTTGGAATCAAGTATACTTGGTAGAAAGAATTATCATACTTGATGGAGTGTAAAAAGTCTTGATGCAAATTGGTACGTAATCAATTATGTCTCTGGTTATGATGGGAGCACTTGAAAGCTAGTCACACGCAAGATAATAAATTATAAACCTTCGAGCTCTGAAGAACATGATGAAAATGTGTTTATAGTCGATTATTTGATAAACTGTTGTCTGACCTTCACAATGTAATTGAGCGTATTGCGTCATCAGTCGACTGTAGTGCGGTGAACCTACGTTCTCCGGCGTGTTCGCCTGCGAGAGCGTATTGCGTTACCTGTGACTACTGTATGGAGATGAGATGGAGGTTCTCAGAATTGTTAGTCTGAGAGACATACTTCATCATTTATATCAACTCTTTGAATAGAAGTTATATGAAACTCGATTTCCCCGTGGGTGACTAGCTTGATTAAATAATATAAAGGGATGTACTTTGTAAATTACCGACAGGGCATGTTGAGTGGCTGGCGTGCCCCTTTTGATTACGACTCCAATGGCTTCACTGTTACATCATTACCTGTTCTTGCTGACTCTTTTTAATAATGCACATGTATTTTTAGGTTGGCTGTCGAACATGCGACCACGTGTCGTTGTCGCAGTATATACTAGAACGCACTGAGTAATAACAGATGAGTGAACGAGAGGTAGAATTACAACGAGCCTATAAGCCTTTTGAATACGCGCACGAAAACCGAAGGCTTGATCGTTCCGTGGCAGCTCTGCTGAAAATACCGATCGTTACATGGCGGTCCTGCTGAGGGCCGATCGAGACCCGTATCATGACTTCTACTGGTAAAGGGTTAGATCGGTTCACTGCGGTCGGGTCACGGTAAAAGGCTTGCAGCAAGCGCAGTTCAGTAAGAGAGCGAGGCACGCCGCGTGCTTGCCTTATATATTCACGCGGCGGCTTCCTTAGCTGGCAACAAGCCATCGTCGTTGCTGCACTGGAATATTACATAAGGCGCACAAAAAAAGAATCTAGAAGATTCGAGAATTCGACGAAAGAAAAATCAAGGCGTAATAATTTTTAGAGAATTCCGGGCGAGATTATTACCCAAAGACCATATAAACATTGCGGGCCATTTGAAACCAAAACATAACAAGTATACGAAAATTCTCGTCCTAAGTGTTTACAGAAATCTGAGATCTAAATGGCCTGTGTACCGACAATCGGCGGTCTTGGAGCTTGCTTCAATCCCGTACAACGATAATCATTTTTCCTTCTATGGGACATTAATTTTATGTTAGTTTTATTGAAATGTTTACTTTATTTAGAAGTATATTTAAATAGCATATAATTAATTGGCTTTATAATACAACACTTATCATTATCTATTATTTTTTATGCCTTGTGGAC